AAAAATACATAATAATCAAAAAAAAAAAAAAAAAAGCAGTAAATGATTTTTGTATTATAATATAGATTAACTGAGATAACAATATCAGCATAATTTTTATTATTCATTATTATGAGTAAGGTTGAAGCTACATTGACATCAGATCCAAACCAAAATTTGGACCACATTTCCAAAGCGCTGAACCTATGTGTCCCTATTCTTACACACTGATTCGATTTTCAGATCCCTTTGGTAGGCTTTTCAATCCAAAAAATTGGATTTGGTATAAATGAATCTTTATTCAGGGTACAGAATCTGTATTATTAAACTCAAAATATCACCAGGACTTACATCTAAAACAGAATTAAAAGAATCATATGCTCGTTTAACACTTACCATGATCGAGGAGCCATGTCATACAGAGAGCGTTCAGTTTCTCGTCAAAGAACTCGACACCTAGTTGTCCTGCCAATAACGGCATGTACTCGATGATGGCCAGCCGCACCCTCCACTTACTGTCCTCTGCTAATTCCACTATAGCTGGTAGTAATGACTGTGACAGTTGCTGGATTCCGATCACTTCGTTCACGCAGTCCAAGTTACTGATGATGTTCAGTCGCACCTCCGGACATTCATCCTTCAACTGTGTCAGGAACAGTGGTAACATGTGTTCTATAGTCCTGCAAATAAAACACAAAAAAACAAACAAAATTAAAAATAAAAAAATAAAAAAATAAAAAATAAATAAAATTTAGGAATAGCGGTAACATGTGTCTTCTAGTTCTCAATAGAAAAATGAACAATTTATATTCTTAAAAATAGTAATAAAATGGACAGAACTAACACCTTATTTTTGCAGAACAAAAACTAATGGGGATACAAAGAGCAACAAATATAAATATTTGTTTAAAGATTTACATAATTAAAGCAACATGATGATAGGACAAAAAAAGGTACAAATTTCTAAATATTACACTATTAATGATAATACACCTAGATCAACACAATTTCATTGTTAAGAATATTGACTGGCAAAAATAATTGTCCTTACTTTCAGAAGAATTAAAATATTGTGGAATGAAGTAAAGCAAAATACACTTACTTGTCTTTGCCCAGAATTGGTGATAACCCCATGATGACTGAGGCTAATGCACTTTTTACATGTTGGTTAGTGTCTATAACAAGGTCCTACAAAATAAAGAAAAAATCTAACATTACGATACATAAAATATCACTAATTGTTACTCCTTTTTCAAGTTCCATGATTTTCCCGGATTAAAGCAACTCTGGATTGCAGACAGTTCATACAATAATAAAAACAAGCATTGAATTGTTTACCTTGACACAGGGTAGTATATTAACCATGATGAGCTGTTCTCGACTTTCTGGTTCTAAGTTCTCACAAAAGACTTTGACTTTATGGGCAGCAGCTGCACGGACCTCTGCCTCACAATCCTTCAAAAGACTCTGGAAGGCTGGGACAAGGTCTTTGTTAGTCAGCTCTGGGCCAACAGCTTCTTGAAGCTACAAGAGAAAACAAGGTATATATATATATATATATAAAATTAAAACGGAACAGTAGAGAAATGTGGCCG